GTGTTATTGAAACGGCGGTTGGTACTGGACTGATTTATTATTCGTCGTACTGACGGTACATTATTATTGGCATACCCACATATACACCACACAATCTATATATAACTGTAATAAAATTTGAGTGTCTGTTTGCAATGTGAAAGGAAAAAGATTTCGGAAATGATGTATTTGAGTTGCTGATAACGATAATCGCTGTCTTTCTGTCTGTACGCAAGCTGTGTTTGTTTTAGGTAATCTCCGAAACGATTCGATCCGATTTCGACGGGACTTTTACTGCAGGGTAGCTGACATGGATAGGCACATTATAGGTTATTTTATTAAACTCCGGGCTGTGATTGTGGCGTAACTTATGATCCAAATGGCGCTAACGAAGTTTGCGGACGACAGCTCGTTATGAACATGAACATAATTGTATCACATATGTTCAGTATCTTAGTTAAGAATAATAATTGAATGAACAAAATTTCGACATTAACAATTTGATGTTCGTATCCGAGACATATCAGAGACGCTTCTATTTGACGTAATCTTTTCGCCTTTTTCATTATATCGATGCAATCATATGTCGACTAACTTGAAAACTGTAAATAGTTTTATTAATTTATATTGGTTATTCCTCCAATTCATTTAGCAAAAGAACGTGTGTAATTTTTAGCGCTTAAAAGCATCCAAAGCCACATTGTAAAATAAATGTCCCTACGATCTATTATTTTCTAAAATTTACAGGCCCCAATTTTTCTATGACATTTTAACCGAACAAAGTATATTTTGTATCGCATGACACATCTGAAAATGTAAACCACATTCTGAAATATATCGATCTTCGATTTGTGAAGAATAGTATTCATGTGACAATGGGTTATTATAATAAATATATTGTTTATTACATATAAGTATATTGTTATAATATATGTAAAGTATACATGAAGTTAACATATGGTCAAGATTATTTTAGTAAGCGATGAAGACGGCAAATTTAACCTTTATTCTTGGCATAGTTAAAGAGTATTGATACATTTAATATAAAGGCATTATTCTTACATGAGGTTCTAGAATTGATGACCATGGGGATGCACCCACGATCATCGATTCTAGGACTTCATGATAGATCCATCCATCTATGCAAATGTATGGATCTAGAATAAAAAAGATATAAACTTTTTCAAGCTTTGAATGATGGATTATTCACAACCGTCACCCCTCTTTGTCCCCACGTGGAGACAGATGAGAATAAAAAGTTTCATCCGTTCCACCTTTTGCGACGAGGAGCCGTTTGGAACTTATTTTATTTCATAATGGTTCCATCTGTCACCTTGTGGCACAAAGTGGGACGGATGAAATGTTTCATTCTCATGTGGGGATAGAGCGGGGTGACGGTTGGGAATAATCCTGAATGATAAGCTAAACAATACGCTTTCCGAACTACTTCTAAAGCCCTGGTTTTATTAGTTTTTTTTTTAGTATTCTTAGGAATATTTTATTTTTTGCAACTGTTATGTCTATGGTATCTTCTATCTTGTTAAAGTTATGTACTACTGTTTATTTAAAAAAAATCAATGTTTATAGCGACGAGTGCTCGTGGAACGTAATAAAGCAGTACGGAAGCCGCGTTTACTCTGCGACAGGAAAAAATAGAGCACTTTTGAGTGCAGTCTGGTACATAAAATATTCCCAGACACGCTCACCCTCAAGCGACCGTCCGTCCGTAGCTAGCGAGGAATTTACTGGATCGTAAGGACATTTTTTGGTATAAACCTGGCTATCGCAATTTTAACTAGTAGAATAATAACGTACCAAACAATTTTAGATGAGAGGTGATTCTTGTTCGTTAATGAGAAAATACTAATTATTATTTCTTTATTTTTTTAAATTTAAGTGGATATATGATAGATCAAATTGCATATTAATAATTTAATAAAGCTCGAAATCAATCTTCGTTACATTATGTTGTCGAATACGTATTTATACATTAAATAAACTTGGAAAATAATTATAATATTAGGAAATATTGAATAAATGTAAACTAGTACCATTGATAAATTCTTCTTTATTTAATGATAAAATACACAAACTATTCACATAAATTGATAAAAGGCATGTAATACAAATAAAATGTTGTTACATCGCTCACGTCACATTTTTCACTACTTTCAAATTACGTTCCTCAATTACAAAAACATTTTCTATGGCTTTCTTGGCGGCCAGTATGATATTTATTACTTATTGCTTGACCAATATATCAACAGAAAGCCGTGCTAATTTAGGAAATTGTTTCCGTTTAATTACCTTGAAACAAGGAGTGTCAGGCACTCCCAATCATTCCCAACGTTCGCAGTCCCTATAACGTTTCATTATTAATTCGCTTCGTTAACTTCATAACGTTAAAGTCGAAATGACGTGCAAACTGGGAATGGTAAGTTTTAATTAAATACGCCACGTATGTACCAGACGTGGTAACTACTTGCTGTATTAGTTTACAGGATTAGAAATAACGCTATTTTAAAGCCTTTGTAGGTGTTACCTATACACTTATGAAATGGTGTAAGTTAAGCTTAATATAGTGACGTGGATAAAATAATTCGTTTGCTTTTTTTCTTTTTTTCTATTTTAGCTTCTAGCTGTGCGGGCCACAATCCGCAAGTTTGTCTCTGGAATTAACATAAAATAGCCTATTACTCCTATCTCTTTACTATAGTTAATATATTTTTTATAAGAAACGCAACCACATGCACAAATTATAAATAATATATACATACAGACACTCCATTTTTATTAACGTTATAGATACATGAAAATGTTGTTAGCGATGTTTTTAATTTAGCAATAACATAAATTTACTACGATAGTCAAAGAAATATAATTTAGAAAAGATTAGTGCAATTTACCCAACCGTATATATTTGTTTGTTCCAGTTGTCAAAGCCAGCGCTGGTCGCAACTTGGCACCCACTTCGAAGTACACATAGAGTATTGAGTTGAGGTAAGTTTACCCAGTTTTTGTTTATTGGAGGAATGCGCATTCCAAGATGAACTGTCTCTTGTTTCATTCCAAAGTCATTTTCGCCATATATGATCACTAAATTATTTGTCACATACAAGCAGAGTAATTTGATGAATTTAGTAACATTCAATGACGATTTTATTCACCATTCTTAGATTTTTCTTTATAATATAGGTAAGATAACATATACTGTTGTGTGCCTTTTATATCTTTTCAAAAGTGTTCATATATAGAATCGTTCAGTTATATTGTTCGGAAAGCATATTGGTGTACTATTGTCACTGATCTCAGAACACATTGGATAGGACGATGCTTGGAAATTGCAGCTTTTGCTTCGTTCTTAAACTTGTCTGTCGCTGTTATTGATAGTTGACTGCATCTCTATTAGTTCGAGTTCTACCATCGCAACCATTGGCTACCGTGAGAGCCAAAATGGCGTAAATTAAATAGGTACAAATTACCATTGCGTCTAACCTGTCCAGTGTGTTATAGAGGTCAGTGAATTTTTACGTTATTATAAATAAATGCTCAATTATATCAAATAATACATTCAACTGTTCATATGTCTTGCTTTACTTATAATATAATGTATTTATTTTTGGGGCTTTGAAACTTTTGTGCTTTATTGTTCGTCTCCATATCACCATAAATATCTATTTTTTTAAATACATCGACATCCATATTAGCGTTATCTTAAGTTTTAAACATGTAGAAGTATTTTCTTAAGTCGTAGAGGTATTCACCGTTAAAATTTCATTTGTTATACTTAGCACCATTGCGTTCTAGCGGTTTACCAAGCGTAGCGGAATCGATTTAGTTATTGCATTTCTTACAAGAATAATAAATTTCAACTAATATATTAGGAAAAAAATTCAACATAATATGTATCAGTAGATAACTTAACGGTAATAAGATTGAAATGCCGTGTCATTGGCATCGCCAGTCAGATAGAGGCTAGGCCTAGGGGGGAGAGGGGTCCACCTACAGTTAATATGGTAGTAGTCTGCTTAATGTTATTGCTTATATTCAATCTAGGAAGTAGGTTTAAGATTATAGCTTTTAATGTGTCACACCGCCAGATTCACAGATTGTACCTTTCTAGTAATTGTAAAGGTTTATTTAAAACGCTCGTTTATTTTATTTTTAGTCCAATTGACGTGCATCACTTCAGATACAAGTGCCCTTTTACTCTCTACTCGGATATATTAAGCATTTCATCCCTCTCGTCTCGGAAACACTTGAAGTCAATTGGTATTTCAATTAGTGGGTTCAATAAGTATGTTTACATTTAATTATTTACCATATTTTCAATAATAGCTTTAATATTATAGTACTCGTAAAAGAAGAAATATATTTTTAATTTCGCACTATTCGATGGAAAATCGTAGGAGTGAAAACTATATATTGATTTTACGCGTCTCGCATTAACTAATTATTTTTTCTAGTGATAAACACTAATAATAGTGGCATTGGCCCCAGAGGCATTGTTTGTTGTGTAGCCTTGGTTATTAATATATTATTTCTATTAGTAATGATTATCTAAGTACTACGTAAAAGGCAAATCAATTTAAGTTAAAAATAAAAAGAACTATACGAATGTAATGTAGTCCGATAGACGTATCGATACATTTAGTAATTCAATTTGTATTATTACTGCACTTCTTAAACGCCTTTACATTTTTGTCAATAAATATTTACATAATTTAATTTGGATGCAATTAATATATACCGAACACAATATAGCATGCAACTTCGGCGTAATCACGAACAAATTATGAAGTGCTCAGACGCGTAAATAAATTTCATCAAGTTCCGGGAAACCTCTGGATGCAATCGTATTTATAAATTAATCTTTGAAACGAGTTTTCCGAGGTTTTAACGGAAGGAAGGCTCGTCGAGCCAACGTCGTCTGCCTACATTTATATAGAGTTCATTATTCAGAATCAATCCGTCTATTGCGACTGAGCCTCGCTTTGATCATTTAGGTATATCTACGTTCAAAGCGTTGTGCTGCACAAATTATATTAAAATCAAATTGTAAAGGTTCCATTTTGCTGTAGAAGCATTGCTAGAAATTTCATTTATAGTTTAGTCGCATATTCAAAAAAATTAAGTCGAGTTTTCGATTAAAATGAACGGTAAGAATCGATTAAAGTGTCAAAATTAAACAAGAAGGGGGGGGGGACACAAAGTAACTAAGTATTTTTATGAGTAATATATTTTTACCTTACTCTCGTTACTATTTTTGTTTATATTTTCAGTTGGTCAATCTGAATTTTAAATTTGTACCATTTAAGTATAATAACAATCGTCTGCGGTGTCGTAGGCCAGCATATTTATTACTTACCAGTATTTTTTAATTTACCAGAATGAACGTTTTTTGTAATAATTTCTATATTTTGCATAATAATATTTCTGCTGATTTATTACATACTTAATCAATGACCGAGATCTGATATCGTCGACCCTTGCTTTAACTGAGTTGATGACTCTTGTGCCGTTACTCTGATCACTTGTCAAGATGACGTCAATTCTTTCAATAACCCTACACATAATAATACTTCATACTAATAGACATAGTGAAGTTTGAATGAATGATTGTTACTACATCTCGATGTAACTTTGCATTTGTAGAATATCTGGAAGATTATATATCCTACTTCCTAAGTAATTTATTAAAATCTTGCAGTAAACGTCTGCAAAAGCTGTGTGATAACAGTGGAATTTCACTGTAGAAACGCATGAGCAAATATCTCATGCCATTTGAAGACCAATAAGCAATTTGTTTAATACAGGTGTTGAAACCGTGAAACCCCACTGTTTGTATTACAGATGAATTTCATAAGCATTTTTAATTTATTAAACATACTAATGTCACTTCGTTTTTGAGTTTCGTTGTTGCAAAATTTTCTGGTGAAAAAAATTCTTAATTCACAATTTTAATTTTTATTGTAACTTAAATAATAAATTGAACGATGTTTGTGGAACGGTACCAGCTGTTGTTTTAACGAGTCAAGAAAGTTATCGCGACTTCATAACTAAAGTTACTTCAAATTCAGATAATTAAATATCAAATCTTGACGTTTCGTAATGATTTTATATGTAAATAAGTTTTAATTTATTAATGAAATGTTCAAAATATATCTTAAGCGTGTATTAATTTTATAGACAGAATTGGTTGTGTTAGGTTCCATTTGAAGTTAAAACCTGTCGTGAGACATAATCCGATGTTTAAACATTATGTAGTACACGTGCCAACGTTCGCGGTTTTGACGCCATATTGAGAGCGTTTCTCTACTGTACTTGTAGAGTACCGTTGGTTTGCTTAGTGCGCGTTCCGTCTTTGCACGTAACGGACCTGTCTCCCGCCGTCGGTACGAGACTAGCAGTTCGCTAATAGTTGTATAAGTGGCTACCGATGTCGTTCCCGGCTAAGCAACCCGCCGTGAGCGATATAATAGAAGAAACAAGTTCATGTTAGTACTGAATTTTATATAAAATGAATGCCTTTTCAGTATTAGAAAGAGTTATAGAATTAAATATTTGTTGTGACACGTGATTGTTTAGAAATTGATGTCGTTTATGTTTAGAACCGAAAAGCATGTTTTTTGCAACGTTGTACATATTAACAAATAATTTTAATGTGTGATTTTTTAAATTAAATTTATAATACCTTTTCGGGTTTATTAAATGTAGATCGGTGGAAAGTTAGGCAGTTCAGCGTGCACATTTTCGTAAGTAAATAACTTTGTTATATCGAAGTTATTGAACGTACGTACGTACGTGTGGTGTTCGATGTATTTAAAATAATAAAACATTTGTAAACCACGGCCTTGTAGCTTACTTTTTAACGATTATAGTGTGTAGGCTGCCAGGCAGCGGATTTTTCGTTTCTACACGAAGTATTTTTATAAGAAAACTGCAGATGCATGATATTTTCTGTCTATCATTGTTGTTTTATTGTTATCATTTACATTGTAGTTTTTATGCATTTGTTATACGTCCTAATCTCTAAAGTCGTAAGGCTCTGTGTAGTTTAAACTTTACGAGATTTTTCTATCTTCGATATATTTAATTCTAAATTGAACTCACGATGAAAAATAATTAAGCTACAATTTATTTCTGTTGTAAAATGTAATTATTGTAACGCAACCACTACTTTTATTAAGAAAATTGATAAGGCATTAAATCAGAGAATTCTAATCTCTCGACGGACGATTTTTATCATAATTGGCTTTACTTTAAATGCTCATAAAATAGGCAATTACTAAGTTTCACTGAGAAAATTGACTGTACGACGTGGGCGTCTGCAAGAGTAGAGTGAATAGAGCCCGTGGTCAAACGCTTGTTTATTCATTTTAAAAAAAGGCGGATAGACAAATGCATTGTTTGACCAAGGCCATATCTGGTGCAGAAGCGGCGACAGTGAGCGGATCGCAGTTTATATAGAGCGGCAGACATGGAGGCAAACGCCGTCTCAACACAGCCGCTGACCCCAACCGCGCAGAGGAATTTAACTGATCCGAGTATGACAACTTGCTCCATTCATGTTAATATAACTAACAGAAACTCACTCTAGACGTAGGTTTACGCTGCCGAAATATTAGTACAAAAATTGATATCCCAGTTTTGTCGGAAATTTTTGTATGAAAGTTTCGGTAGTGGTATCACAGCGCGCAGTCACAATGAGATGGTTCCTCGTCATATTAAATTGAAATTGATAGATCTCTAAAATAGAAGTTCGTATTGATCTTTCAAGGCACTGAATTGTTTGAAGCATAGTTTTAAAAGAAGTCGTCATTTTGCCGGCCGAGATGATTGGTTCAATTTTTATGACGGTTCCCAGGTCGCGTCTCATTTGGACTATGCGCGTATTATAGCAATTAACTTGCTTAACTAATCATTTCACACTGAAGGTGTATTAGATATAATAAGAAGTTATCCGTGACGTTGGGTCAGTATAAACCACGGAGAAGGTACACACGTTTTAAAATTTGGAATTTAATATATGTACATGTAGTCATGTGCACCCAGCTTAATTGGCTTTGACATTAAAACATTTGCATCATGTGATTTTGTGCATAAAAATGTTTTGTAAATATGTTTGTAACACATTTGTTTGAAATAATAATTTAAAATTCTAATACGTAACACTTGTACAAATGTATTTTCAGGTGTTTGCCGTTGGCTCGATCGATTGGATCGTTTGATGGTATGAAAATTTTTCGGTCGGCCCAATGGTAAACACTCTGATATCAATATCTTTTCATACAAGTGTCTCAACAGTGCAAACCCACATAAAAAGATCTTGTACATGCTTTTAATATGTGTGAGATTTGTTGTTGGTTTTGGGTAATCTGTGTAGTTAGATACGTTTGATTGTTAGTGTGTTATTATTGTAAAAGTGTTTTTTAATGTTTGATAGTAAAAAACTTCTTACGATTTCAACCGAAGCACCTTTATTTGTATTGTTATGCACTATGAAAGTGAGGAAAATTATTTATTTAAATAAGCAATTTAGTTAAACTGCTGAAAAGGGCATGGGTTGTGATTAACAATTAAGCCCCAGTTTTCATATTTGAAAACAGTGTAAACAATGTTTTTGAGAACGTTCACAATTGCCTAAAAACTGTACAGGTATAAACAATAAGTTGCGTTATTTTCAAAACAATTTCTATTATTTTCATACACCCATGACAAGTTTTGTTTATCTAAATACTGCACACAAATAAGGAATAATATCAACAATTAAGAAATTATTTTAAACAAGTTAATTAGAAAAAATATTATTAATACAATTTGAGAAGGGCTCTAATATTTGTTTCATTGTATTTAAATGACGAAGATTACTTTGTTTTGACGGTCATCAGTCAAGTATTGTTATTAATGACTTATCTATTACTGGAATAAACTTTAATAATTAAGTTTATAAACTACCAACTGAGAGCTAAGTTTGTAATTGACATTTTATATATTTATACTGACATTAGGGAACTACCAGAAACAGACTATCCTAGCTTAGCAAATTAGCAATGTAAATAGTTTCTTCAAAAGGAATATAAGCGATAGGCCATCTATTTAATTAAAAAATCTTTTTGATTTTCTATTCTAAATTTATTTAAAACTAATGTTACACACAAAGAAGGAATGTATCACGTAAGGGAAGTCGTTGGTGAAATACATTTCTACTAGTTAAGGAGCCAAGGCAACATCGAGTAATATAAACAATATTAAAAAAATAAAATTATAACTGACTTAAATTTCATTTGACTTGAACAACTCAAGTTTTTCTTCACAAACATTGAAAGTTTTCTTGCGCAAACCTTTGGTCTCATTGTGATCTCGTTGAAGTTTAACAAACGCAAAGTTATTTCGCAATTTTCCTTGTCAAAGTTTCTATTTTTGTTGATTCGAAATGAAGCAAAAAGCTATGAAACTTGATGCAAACTTTTGTATAGGAATCCTTTTCGGTTAGTTGACGGGTTTTAATTACTTTTTCTTTATTAGAAGGCTCGTAATGCTTTAATTTTTTTATTCTATGTACAGATGAGGAAATTGATTTCATGCCCACTTGACATATTAACATACGTCTAAATATAAATTATTGTTCTTATAGTGACTGGGTAGCAAATTTAATTCCTTGACTGTACATATTTTTTAGGCAAGATCATTCACGAGGCATATTCATATAATTTTTGTTGTAATGCATGAATGCTTGTTTTTAATCATATTTGAATTGTGACTAACATTTGATTGGGCTTTTGTGTGTAATTAAATCTGCATGTTCGTATTTTCTCTTCAAAATAATTTTCTACTAATATAACTACAAACAAACTATAATCTTTTATTTACATTTAATAAAGGTGATTTTTATCAATCCTTACCTTTTCTCGTTCTGTTCATTGCGGGATATTTTATTATATAATTTTGTTAAAGTCGTTTAACTTTCAGAGTCAATTTCGATAATTTTAAGCAAATCTATAAGCACAAGACAAAAAAGTGTTTTGTATTCTACTGCTAAGATTATGTGAATTACGTCTTTACCTTTATCATTTTGTAAATACACATAGAAATTATAAAAGTAACTATCACTGTGCAGTAGGATCACAACGCTTTGCTTTTGTTTGAATCAATAAGTTAAAATCTCTGATCTGTTTAAATGGATAGGTGGAAATGACAACTTTTGCTTCCTCACGACTTAAACCCATCTTTGTTAATCACAAGGTTTTCTATCTGTATTACTAGTTCCGATACTCGTCACCGCCATCAACCGCGACCATAAGAACCAAGATGCATAAAATGCTCCGTCTTATAGCTTGTCCATTTATATAGATCAGTGGTTTACATCGTCTTGATTTTCAAACACAATTTGAAAGCATTCATGTCTATTACCGTGGAATTCCACACGTAATGTTTTTATCTCGTAAAAACAGGAATACAATATGTATCAATACAAGTGTCACTGCAATGGAATTCCACGGTTAGTCTTGTTTTCTAGGGTGTTAGAGTGTGATGTTAGGGTAGATGGAAAGATTACCGAACGGTATACGTTTTGCAGATTTAGTTTCGGACGCTGAAATTCCAACGCCGGAACGGGCGCTTTTGCACAAACTGGAGATTGAAAATAAAAGAATCGCAGAGGACGCTAAAGCCCACTGTTTACCGAAGGCGGACAAAATGCACAGTAGGAAAGGTTCTGATACCTCCGTCATATCTGTTACCTCAGGTAAGTCAATATTTTAACTTTTGTTGCTTTATAGATAATTGTAATTATTAACTAAACCGTGAGTTTTCACTGCCGTAGCACAAATATTTTTTACTCCGTGTTTTAAAATAGGACAATTTATTATTGTACATTTATTTCGGCAATTTATTTTCTAGAAAATTTTCAGTATTTAATTATTTTATTTTTTATTTCATGCTGGCGTTTTTCTTTTATTCCATGCAAATAGAATCCTTTCCTCCTATTATTTTGTTAATTCCGTCCTCAAAAAAGCCTTGTCATTAATTAGTAAATCGCAGTTGCCTGTTTATTTGGTACACAGTAATTTTATAGCAATTATAATTGCTATATAACGATACCATTATCGCAATATATCACGAATTCGTTTTTTATTTACCTCTTAGTTTCATTTTTTGCGGAAGTATTTAGTTCGTAAGAACCTTGACCTGACAATTACAAAGACTTTATATGCATTTCTGTAGTTCTTCACGAGAACAATTACAAAAACGTAAAAAGAAATATGACGATATAAAAGCGAATATACATAGAATTAATGTTAAGTTTTTCATATGCATTTATATGAAGACGATTGTTCCATATAACATTCTCACTGTTACTTTACACTTATTGCTTGAATATGATTTTGTTATTGTTTGGCAATAACTAAGTCTCCATTGCCACAGTACCTTGAATAGCTTAAGTACAGTCTTTAGTAATCTTACCCAAGGCCGGTAATTAAATAAGAAACCGTTGGAACGATATTTATTTAGTTATTTTTAGAAGTATCGTGTTTATGTTCAATATTCTTGGTTTTAAATGAATTAGTGAAAGGATTAATAGTGTTGGTGGGAAATTCCTGCAGTACTTTATATTAAAATGGGATACAGGCAAAGAATTAAATTCGCTTCCCACTTAATATCAATATCGTATATCAAACCATTATCAACTTTATTTAAGACGTAGTGTTATTTCAACTCATTTTTTGACTAAATCAAAGGCAGGAAATAAACTTCCTCGACTGTACATATGTCAAGAATACGAAGCAAGTATATAATATGGAGTCAGATGTGTTAGACAACCTAGTGTCAATCTCATTAGTGATAATTGCACCCTCCCAGGCGTCCTCAGAACCAATCAATGGTAATCAACACAAACATATTGATCAATTGTTTAGCAACATATAGATTATCAACATTGCTTGTTGTATACAAACATTAAAAAGTATTTTAAATTGTTTAGGATACAAATCTGAAAACAATAAGTATTTAATTTCTGCAATATTATTTTTCACGTAATATCTACAAAGCTAACGATGGATTGGTAGCCATAGCTGTAATTCATACCATATTATATATTAACTTTAGGCAAAAGGTACAACAATGAACTGTCGTCTATATATACATCTGATTCAAAAAAGATTAAAAGCGTCTGTCAAAATGCTTCAACATTGATTATTGGATTCGGGTGTTAATGACCTCAAAGCGAACGTCGAACCTGCCCTGACATGCCTTTGTTGTCTCGAGTGTGTACCGAATCGAAATCCCTATACTGCAAACCCGTAGAATAATGACAGTAGACGGATTCACTTTGTGCCACTCATTCCAGTCTACCTACCATGTTAGTATAGATTGTTAATGGAAAGCTTTGCTTTATCTCTTTGTTTGTGATAGGATATACCGTGCCTTCACATATAGTGACAGTTGTGTTGATGTATTGTCAGCCTTCACATTATCGTTGAAAAAAAGAGAGAACAATATATATGAAAACCTATAGTATGAGTGTACTGTTAATATTCCCTAAATTAGCAAATTGATAAATTTTTCAAGTATTGCGTGAATACAACTACGTATGTTGCTAATGTTTAAACTATATATTCGTAGCTGTCAGTACAATTAAGTTTTCAGAAAACAATACTGAATATGTTTTGGTTTTGTTACAGAAGTCCTTGGAAGCCAATGTCATGTAATAATAATTCCAGTCCAGTCGTATCATCATTTATGAGGTGGTTTCTTAGTCTGGTTTTAAATCTACATGCCATTGTCACCTTGGTTTTAGAATTAAACCGTACATTAAGATGGTATATTTTGGTCATAGTAACTAATGTGGTTATTAAATAGTGATTTTTACATAACAGTTGTTGAAATTATTCCACTTTACTGTATCATTTAATTAAAGTATTGTTTTAAACAAAATCAAGGACGGCATTAATTTAGTCTTTAATCTTCATAGTCGGTGTTACTCGAAGCGATTCCGAATTTACGACACCGATTGCGTAAAATTGCAAGAGAACGTCGAGTCGCTTTCAGTTTTAACAATCTAAGCCTCGAGTAGGTCTTCTTTTAAACGAGTATTGTACGTTTAAGCGACGAGAAAATGTAGAATAATATAGTGCATAATTACATTGTTGTTATATTTAGTTTCATTAAAAAATTAACAAATGAAAATTGCAGTATTTACGCGTGCTTTATAAGACTGATTTGATTTGGTAATAACTCATAAGTGTATGTTGTTTATTTCAACGGATACAGCATATTTAGGGCAAAATATAGTGTAAATATAAAAGTATTATTATATCAAGCGATCGCTATCTCTATATATCTTGTATGAGAGATTTGAGATAGCAGTTTATCCCGCGCTATCATACGACACATGTGAATATTGTGCTTCTGAGATGAACGGAAGGCACGATGTGTTCGGTGTTAGTGTTCTAGAATTCTATTTAGCTAGTGTTTTGGAGAACATTAATTTGGGTATGTATTGATTTAAGTGATTGCATATAAAATATTCATGTGGCAGCGTTCGTGACTCTTCCCATTATTTCCGTACTTGTTCTGTGAAATCCTTTTCACGTGTATGGAATAAATTAATGCGGGTTAATGCTTTAACTCTTCATGTGTAATTAGGTGATATATTTGGAGTATATCTTTCTTTGAATGTGTCACGTTTTTTTGCACATGGATTATTGATAAGAAACCAATAACTAAAGACTAGGAACACAACACGAGGGACACGTTAATCGTTCGCCAATTGCACTCCAATTGACCAATACTTGGTAAATTTATTTTTAAAATTGTTTATAAAAGTACTGGCAGGAGTGTTTTACTATATAATTTTTTGATTATTCGTCCGATTTGTGTCCCTTTTAAAGCAATAGTTAATTAAGATGAAAGTATTGGTTTGTTGTGATGGGTAGGCAGGTGACGCCGTGCCTCAACGAGCTCTGTCCGGCGTGCGATGTGTCATCGTGATTCATCGCATTGTTCGTCGCCTTGCAACTGATGCTTGCCCCACACTGCTGTGAAAGCGAACCGGAACCGAAGCGACTCTTATCTCCAGTACAAAACATGTAAACCTTACTGCACAACACATTTAGTCACTATTCGTTTACGAGATAGCTACCGCCATCAGAAATTTTATGACTATGAACAATTATTATCATTATTCGCGTCGCTTTAGCTTCTGTTCCGATTCGCTTACCCAGCTATGTGCTAATGGTTTAAATGATGTGTTACCGACGTTTTATCTCAACTACCACACCAATGCTTCCTGTCATTACCGAATACATTTCAATGTAGGTAATCAAAAATCATCTCAAAGTAGTCGTAGCTCTTTATTGTATTTAGGAAGGGAAATAACGTGAATTGGCTAAAAACTGACATTGCTGACACCTCAAATTGCTAATATACCTCATCTGTGTATACTTTGTTTTGTATCTTTACGAGTGTAGTACGTAAATATCTTACGTCTCGTTTTATGACACACTCAGGAGGAATGACAAAAATTTAAATTTTAGGATACTCGTCATCAAGAGTAACTTTTCCATAATAGATAAGTTGAAGGAACAACGTGTAAGATGTTAGAATTGGAAATTCTAACAGAAATGTGCGTTCCCATGGGAATACAATAAATTCGAAATCTGGCTATAGCTCTCTTCGTTTTACTGATCTCCTTTTCCTACTTTATCAACTTTCAAAGCATCCATCTCTTCCTCTACCAATGTACCTTAAATTCTCGTTGTCCTGATTTATTTCAGTCGTCTGTCGTCATATTTATCTATCCATATGCTCCACAGGCTTGTTTACTGATAAAACTAATTGTCGGATGTCTGGCAAATTGCGTTAAAGCGAATTGTACATATTGAATAACATTGTTGTTTAAACAATCAGTAGTGCGAAAGCGAAACAATACTGTCATTATTTATTTCAATTATATTATCAAAAGTCATCCACTTGCCCTTATCCCTTATTAGAATTTTACTTTTGATAATTATATTATCAAAAGTAAAATTCTAATAACTTTAACATGTGCAACGCCTGTGTTCTGCGAATTAACGAAGGTTAAACCTTCTTTATTCTTACCTTAAGCTCTAGCGAAATTAATTGCATAGGTAGTAAAGTCTACTAACAACTAAGAATTTCTCAAACAAATGACTGTCGTGATACTAGTAATATATATTCATCATCCCTCTCATTCTCTATAAAAAAAAAAACAAATACAACAATATAAGAATCACGGCAATGGATTTCACAGTAAAGATTTTTTCCTAATAATCGTAGGTAATTCTGTAATAGTAATACTCAAGCGCGCTGAGTTTTGTTAGTGGCAGGGGGAGTTATCGACGAACCCGCGCACGGCTAATATAGCAGCTGCTTTTGGCGCTTAGTAATTAGGTTAATTGCCTTTGTAGCTGTATTTTGATATTTGCAAGGCGATTGTCACTTACTTAGTAAGATTATATTGTGATAATTTCAATAACACGGTTCTTGACTATATTATATCACCATTGTTATACGAAAGACAGATGAAAGCACTAAAATTAAAAATAAATAATGTAATTACTATTTAAGGCATCAAAAGTTAGCCTTTCTTAGAAATTTTGGTAACATTAACATGAAGGCATCTTACCACAATGTGGTTGCACATATTTTACACATGTATTTTGTAATGAGTTTACGGTAGAGACCCTTGGGCTTTTCATATTTAATTCCTGCCTTTGAGATGTCGCTTGTCGAATATTCACCACATAATGTTATGTTATTTATTAACAAAAGCGCCGACGTATATAGACGAAGGCGACGAACAAGCGGTACATTTTAATACCTTTTCTTTCTAGATTATATTATATTTTGATTATAGACTATGAGCCAGTATATTTAAATACTTAACCTCAGTTGAGTGTATGTAACGATTGAAACTAACAAAATTAATTTATCATTTCAGCGACGAGTAATGATTCGGAGACGCGTCCGACACCGGTTGAAGAGGATTTGTGGTCCCTCTGGGGGAGGATTGTGATAAATTGGGACTCTGAGTGCCGACGGAGGAGACACTTCATCCGGGACCTCGTCCGACAAGGCGTACCGCATCATTTTCGAGGCATGGTCTGGCAGCTGTTAGCGGGTGCAAAAACATCCGACAAGTTGTATTCCTCTTATATAAAGGTAAATTTTTAATTAAGATTACGTACATGTAATATGGTCGCTATAGGTAGAATTCTGACTATCATATATTTTTTACTAGCTTTCGCCCGAGACTCCGTCCGCGTGGAGTTCAAAAAACAAAAGTTAGTAGCCTATGTGTTCTTCCAGACTATGCTCTAAACCTGTGCCAAATTTCATCGAGATCCGTTCAGCCATTTAGGCTACAAACTCTAACAACATCCATCCATCCATCTAAACTTTCGCATTTATAATATTAGTAAGATTAGTAAGAAGGAAGATAAGTAATGGCTTTATTCACTTTTCTTCAAATTAATGTTATGTGTCATATTTCAAGTTTTGACAAATTGAAATTCATTAGCATACAAGGCCAAACTGTCTATAACAATTAGTAAGGAACAATCTACATTTAAGTTTATCTCTGCAGTTTGTGAATTAATATTTTATTATAAATGCAAATACGTCACAGCTTTTCGTATTCGACCCATTTACCCACATGAAGATGTATTGGACAGAAAAACCATCGGTACACAATAAATGCTTACATGGATCATTTGATAATCGCAAATAAGACTAAGGTTTTCAACTGATACTAACTTAGGAAATGGGTTTTGTTTTTAACTTTACAGTCAACTTCTTTCTAGTATGCAAATATAAATAGTGCGAGTTTTAACAATTCTTTTGTCTAACCCTTAATTTCACACATTCCGAAATAAACGCGGTATAAACTCAGGAATAAACGGAGTATAATCAAATATTAGTACAAATTTTGCTTATACTCAGTTTAATTTTATACTGCGTTTATTTGTAAGGCTGTAAGTGTCCGCTGTGACGAACTACTAATTTAAAAATATCTATTTCACTCATATCACATTAATATTTCATATAAAAATATGACAATAAGAAAAATGACATAAAAATCAGTGGAATTAAGCGTTATTTAGTATAATATTTTTTTTTTGCAGGAAAAATCCGCGTGCGAGAAAATGATAAGACGAGATATTGCTAGAACATACCCTGAACATGAATTCTTCAAGAAGAAAGACGGCCTCGGGCAAGAGTCGCTTTTTAATGTGATGAAAGCGTATTCACTTCACGACAGAGAAGTAGGATATTGTCAGGGCTCCGGGTTCATTGTAGGCCTCTTACTTATGCAGGTTAGTTTTATTTGCAAAAATATAAAAAAAGGGAAAAGTATAGCCTATGTTACTCAGTGATAACATAGCTTTTTAATGGTGCAAGAAATTTTTGAAATCTTCCCAGTAGTTTTGAGTTATTTCAATACATACAAATCTTTTATCTTTATAATGTTAGTATAGAAAAACTGACAAGTGGTTTTTAATCTGTTAATGTTTTATGTAAATCTTTTTTGGATACGATTTTATATTTATTTTACAATTTTCGACTTTTATCCAACATCAAGCCTTTATTTTTATAAATGTTTTAATACTTATTTTATTAAAATTATAAACTATATGAATATTTATGTTAATTCGCAGATGCCAGAAGAGGAAGCGTTTGCGGTTCTCGTAACGATAATGCAACAGCACAGAATGAGGGATATGTTTAAGCCAAGTATGGCTGAACTTGGTCTATGTATGTTCCAACTTGAGAACTTAGTGCAAGAGTTTTTACCTGAATTGCATTATCATTTTCAATCACAGGTGAGGTTGGATAAATATACTTTACTTATAAAACTGTCTTATGTTAAAAGAAACATAATTGACAACGAAAGTATTTCCATCAATTATTTTAAGTTTTAAAATTACCGTTATCATGGTTATATGCATTTGGCTTGAAGTTTCTCGCATGTTAATTCCAATTCACCCCCTAAATTAAATAGCGTAAAAATATTATAATCAAAAATAACTCTTCTATGATGTGATTGATATCCCACATAACAAAGATGTTTACTTTTTATTGTACAGTAGAACCTCAATAAGTTAAAGTCCAAGGGAAACACAAAATATATTAAGTTATAGAGGTTTTAAGTTATCAATGTCTATGTTGTAGAGGTTTTGGGCTCTAATGGGAAGGGAACATATTATTTTTTGAAGTTAGAGAGGTTTTTAAGTTATTTAGGTTCTACTGTATTAGTATTGAAGTATAGATACAAATTTTATGTTTTTTTATTAACATTATTTGTTACAGAGTTTCGCAACATCGATTTATGCAAGTAGTTGGTTTTTAACATTATTTACGACGACATTGTCTTTGCCACTTGCGTGTAGGATAATGGATGTTTTTCTCTCCGAGGGTATTGAAGTTGTATTTAAAGTGGCCTTGGCGTTACTCACCCTTGGTAAAGAGGAACTACTCTCACTTGATATGGAAAATATATTAAAAGTATGTAGAATTGAAACATTTAACAACTTAGTGTATCTTAATTTATGATTTTTTTATTCAGATATAAAACGGATGAAATTTTAGATAATATTTATTGTATTTGTTAATAGTCTATACAGTTATAATAATAACTAGCAGTTCCCATGCGACTTCATCCGCATAGAATTATAAATATTTCATTTTATTGTTTACATTTTGTCAAATGATCAATTGCAAATATCAAAATGACATGACGTGATGTCAAACCACGGCAACCTTGATTATGGCAGCAATTTATGGTCTCTTTCCCACATTAGGGTTTTTATCCTAAATATTTACCTCCTAAGTTTAACGCCATGAAAATATATAACCTAATGCGTGACGTAAGTGTAGGCCTGTTTATTAAAAAAAGAGTTATTCGAAAATATGCTGTGATTGCTGACATCTTAGGCAACAAAGAAGTGTGTGTTTACGCTTCATTATATTAGTATAGATGGTTACTAAAAATATAATATTTGCATGTCTGTTGATAAAAATCCGATTAAAAATTAATTTTGTGTCTGTTTGCATGTTGTGTTTAAAAATGAAATAAAATTTCTTCCTTCTTTTATGACCGATAACAAATTACTTAAAATAAACGACAAACTTCGCTTAAAACAGTCCGTGTATGTCATTCCTAAAAGCCTTGAAGACGGCTTGCTTGTATTTAATGCTTTTATTATGTTTATCATATCTAAATATATTTATCTTATCAGTTTATCATTGTAATTGGTAATTACAGTACCTGCAGAAAGAATTACCGGCGAAGGCGGACGCTAATCAAGATGAATTTATGAAATTGGTCTTTTCAATAACTGTGAACCAGAAGAAAATGAAAAAACTAGAGAAAGAATACACGGTTATTAAGACCAAGGAACAAAGTGATATCGCAGTGCTTAGAGTGAGTATTCATATTGAAAATATTTTAATTATAAGGCAGGGAATGCCATGTCAGAGGCTGCCATATTTGTATACTTACAAGCGTAAGTGAGCACAAACTGGCATGCCAGTAGTTAGCATGATGTTTGTTTGTGGTATGACAGCGACATGCAAGTAAGTTAATGGTTAACTTAACTTGACAATTATCAGTTTTGTGACATACAAACTATTTGATATTTTAATATCATTACGAATTGCGCCAGTAAATGGCCAGTTGGCTGTGATGCTAATTAATGCAATGTCTTACTGGCGTAGTTTTCCGACTTAAATGTTATTTTCTTATGGCCGATTACTATAACGAATCTAAAATTAGCTTTGCTTACAATCTGACAGATGTCAACATTTTAATAGAATCCAAAATGGCTGCCATCATTGGTGAATTGTGGACAAATTTCGATAAGCAAGATAATAAAAATCTAATAACCACTAATATTATAAAGAGAAAAGATGTGTATTTTTGAAATTTTGCATGTATAGGAATAATTCAAAAACCTACTGGGACGATTTCCAAAACTCTTTCATAATTAAAAAGCTACCTTTTTGAGTAACATAGGCTACATAGGCTATACTTTTTTGTTACATTTCAGTTTAATTAATTAAACAATAAACAATAAAAACCAGTAAATAATTATAAAAAAATAATAATTTCAGTGCCTTCGAGAAGAGAATAGATTGTTAAAGCAGCGAGTAGAGTTGCAGGAGAAAGAATGTTCTGCGCTCGCGGAGAGGCTGGTCAAAGGTCAAGTAGACCGCGCAGAAGGTGAAGAGGAAACTTACGCTTTAGAGAAGGAAGTCCAAGCATTGCGAAGAGCAAACATGGATGCACAACAACGATTAGCGGTCGCACAAGATGAGATACGATCGTTAGAAATGACTATTGCTGAGGTAAAACAAAATATAATATCTCGTATTATAACCAAAGAGATAAAAAAATATAGAGCAGTGACACTTCACTTAAGACATTTTTCACATGATACACTATCTGTTAATAGGTCCTCAATGTCCACATATATAACAATGTATTGGGCTTATATTAGAGGTAGTAGTAAGTTTGAGAGTAGCCCCCATAATAGAGAAGGTTAGGAGTAAAAGGTTAGCATGGTATGGGCATGTTATGAGGAGGGATGAATCGCATGTTACAAGGAGAACGTTAGTTATGAGTGTGGAAGGGTACATCGGTAGAGGTAGACCTAGAAAGAGATGGATGGATTGTGTAAAAGGTGACATGATCAAAAAGGGAGTGATGACTGAGATGACGTTTGATAGAGTTATGTGGAGGACAAAAACCTGTTGCGCCGACCCTACGGGAGTAGGATAAGGAGATGATGATGATGATGATTGGGCTTATATTAAACGACTAGCTATTCCCGTGCGATTTCATCAGTATAAAATTATTTTATTGTTTACATGTGTCAAATCGTCAATTGCAAATGTCAAAGTGACATGACAACAAACCATGGCAACCTTGCTTCCTTGATGTTGGCAGCAACTTATGGTCTCTTTCCCACATTAAGATGTTTTTAGGGTATTTATTTAATGGCGTGAAAATATATAGCCTAAAGCGTGACGTAGGTGTAGGGATTTTTAATAAGAAAATAATTAAAAAAATGCTCTAATTGCTGACATCTTAGGCAACAAAGAAGTTTGTGTTTACGCTTTATTATAATAATAGTATAGATAAGTATAGATTTATAACATGTTAATAGAGACACGACATTTGACAATTAACAACCTTTCAAAGAAGTTACCAGTAAAAAAATGTTATGTTAAATTTCATGCAATATCTTTGTTAAATTTCCTATAATCTAAAATTGTCTTTCAAATAAATAAATGCATTTTTTCAATATTTTTATTTGCTCAGTTAATTAGTATTTTATCGAATTTCAGAAAAATTCCCGACAATCGTCATTGGAGGGGGTTGAAAAGAATAATGCGAAGGAAGATGAATTGGCTCGTTGTCTTCAACGGGAGCTTGTTAGAGCGAGACTGCATGCTGCGGAAAGGGAGGCGGCAGAAAGAGAACTCCTAGAAAGAATAACATTACTGGAAAATGAAAATAAGAGTTTGAGAAAGCAACGAGTGGACAATAATGTCGCACATCTGCAGGTAAAGGGTTAAATTTTAAAGACATATTTACAATGATTACAAAACTATAATTCGATCATATATTGTACGTGTTTCTTTTTCTTCTCTTTTTTATTACATCTTTTTAATAATAAGGAATGCAAACGTCTTGGTGGCCAGTATGCAACCTCTGACTGTATTCATACTTCTTGTCAGTCAAAGAGGTTGCATTTTGCACTTAACAGTAGCTTCAAAATGACGTCACTGACAGTTAAGGGAACAAAATTCGATATTACCATTACATAATTTACGCGTTGGATTGCAATCAGACAATTTACGATTTGATGGGACAGGCCCTAAATGTTTCCTGTGTTAAAATGTATTTTTTTCGATAGGACGAGTTGATAGCGGTGAAACTTCGTGAGGCGGAGGCGAATCTTTCCCTCAAAGAACTTGGTCAACGCGTCACTGAATTATCTGATGCATGGAAACGACATTTACAGGTGAGTACAATATTTAGTACAATGAAATTTATATGTTTAAAGTAACATTTTAGTATTTAGTTATATATTTTTTGGATTTTGGAAATATTAGTAAGAAGTGTATATGTTCTTCCTGACTTTCTCTGTGACAAATTTCATTCAAATCCGTTAAGACGTGGTGCAGATAATCTTCTAACTTATATCCATTCATTCAAAACTATCGAATTCATCATATAGTGAAATTGTACAATTTTTAGATAATTTATTGTCCATTTTAATATTGGATGTGGAGATTAAAATGATAAAAAAATGTCGAATATACTATTTTTTTAATTATAAGACACTAGCTGTTGCTCGCGACTTCGTCCACGGAAAATTAAAATAATATTGCCTATAGTCATAGATAAATTACCTTTATAACGGGGAAAGAATTATTTAAATAAGCACAGTGGTTTTTGAGTTATTTCAATACACACAAAAATACAAATCTTTCCTCTTTATATTAGTATAAATTCGGAGTGTGAGAGAGATCGAGAAAAGAGAAGCATGATTTTTATATCACAAAAATATTTATAAACTTTAATTTAATATTTTTACATTTATACAATTATAGGAGCATCAGCAAGTGATACCACCTCCGTCTCCGGTACATTCTAAAGTGGTATTAGATATAATGGCAACACCGAAGAGATTATTACGTGCGTGGGAAGGAAGGTCTGCTGAAACTCAGAAATTAGAAGAAGAACTCATGTCTACTAAGATACGTGAAGTTGAAGCACTAACAGAACTTAAAGAACTACGACTTAAGGTAAGCGTTAAGTTGCCTGTAAACACAAGAGAATACTTTTTTTTTATCGTGTTATTGTCGTTACAATAGTATTAAACGTCCGATATTTGGCGAGGGTTGTAATAAATAATTCTTATATCTATGCTTAACTAAAAAATAAAGTACAAATATTATTTTAATAAAAGTAAAAATACCCTTGTCTAGTTTCTGTCCCACTGGTTTGCTTTTAAGAGTTTGCTAATAGCAATGAAGCCGTTCTTGCGCACATCTTCTAGCTTAGTTTTAATATACTTGTTGTAATATTCATGCAAAAGCTATTAAAATGAATAATTTCTATTGTTTCGTAGCGATATATTCATTCCTTTGAAAACAAATGCATTTCAATTGACCAGCAGTGGAATAAGTTTTTGTTGAATAAATATAATTGAATTTATATTTTTGGCGCGATATTGTTATGTGATAATGTAGCTTTCTAAATATATAAGAATTTAAAAATTCGATCTAATAGTTTTTAAGTTTATAACTAAAATACAAACTATTCATCCCTTTTTCATCTTAATATAGACAAAAGAGTAGAAAGTAACAGTGTTTGTATATTATTTATAATTTTTTTATTTTAAACTGAAATATCCTTACATTCTGTGTTACGCTTGCCATAATCCTCTTATCCTAACGCGACTGATCTTGCGAATTTGCTCATGATATTTTTATAACTGAATAACAGTGCGAATTTTTTAACAAAACAAGCGATTCAATAGTATACTAGTTTTCGCTCGCGACTCCGTTCACGAGGAATTAACAAAAAAGTATGCCTATGTGTTCTTCCAGACAATCCTCTACATCTGTACCAAATTTCATCGAGATTCAGCCGTTTAGTCTACAAACTAACAAACATCCATCCATCAAAACTTTCGCATTTATAATATTTGTATGATTATTCCAGGTGATGGAATTAGAGGCTCAAGTGCAAGTTTCTACGAACCAATTGAAGCGACAGGATGAAGAGACTCGATTACTAAGGGATAGTCTCGACGCGGCTTTACAGCGGGAACGAGCACTTCAAGTACGACAGAAGGAGTTCCAACATAAATACTCTGATTTAGAAAGCAAGGTTAGATTATCTTTAAAACGATATACTATGAATTAGAAAACTGAAAGGATTAAATCGATTGCAAAATCAATAAAGAAGCAAGCAAGTCTGAATTATATTACGATAGTCTGACTCTCTTTATAAGTATCCTAATGTAATTCACACTTAGCCAGTACAGTAAGACAGTCGCGCAGACTAGGCATATTTGTGGGCAGACTGGCGCCAGTTAGTTATGCCAGTTTTTTTTTATAAACAAATAGGTGGCAATCGAATAAGCGACTACCTAAATCCGCCAAAATGGCGAAGCGACCCCTGCCCGTAGACATCCGCAATTGCAAATGCCTATCCTAAATCGAGGGATGAGGAGACGCATATAGATAGGATATTTCCCCTTCCTGTGCGTCTCCTCCACCGTTAAATCCACTTTCTCATCCTTTAAGTAAAAATTGGGTCGAGAAAGTGACTAAAATTGGGCCTCTGACTCCACACTCATCAGACTGTAGACGGAATTGCTTCCACTTCACGTCTATATTCTGTGTGGTCGTGGTATTGCTGGGGGGGAGGCCTCATTCGTGTAAAGATGTTAAAGCGGGCTCTACCACTGTAAAAGTTGAATACCAATCTAGTTATTGAGCGCTACTGACAAAGTGTAAACCAACATAAGTCATAATTTAGCGTTTTATATCTTGTTTTAACTAATTAATACTTTTTTACCAATGCTTATAAAGTATGCGACCAAAATGTTTTAAACCACATATTTATTGACTGTATGTATATCCATCCAAATTGCGTCGTAGGTTAATGTATTGTCGCAGGAGGGGGTTGTAGGGATGTAGTAAACCCCCACCTTTAGAGAATCAAAAAAAAAAATAGTAATTGGACGGCAAAACTTATTATATGAATGAAATTATTATAACAATATAACTCCTTTTAATTTAAGAATTATTATCTTTAGGTATAATATTATCATCATCATCCACTTGCCCTTATCCCTTACGGAGGGTCGGCACAGTATGTGCTGCTCTTCCATACATCTCCAACAGCCGTCATATCTGAATCCACTCCTTTCTTAAGCATATCCTCTTTCACACAATCCATCCATACTTCATAATCTTTAGGTATTGTATATATTAATTTAAAATTTGCTTAACTAAAATTCCAGGCGAAGTACGACTCAATGCAAGCAAATATTAGAAACATGGAGGACGCTCAAAGAATAGCCGAATTGGAGACAGAGGTGTCAGAATATAAAATGAAGGTAAAAGAATATTAGTTATTCGTAATAATTATCATCGCCCTTTTTGCCCACTATTCTTAATAAAATTCTTTTATTTTCAAATCTATATTTGTATTTTTGTATGTATTGAAATAACTAAAAAAGTACTGGGCTGATTTTAAAAATTCTTTCATCGTTTGAAAGGTAATTTATCTGTGAGTGACATAGGCTATATTTCTTATTGTTTTTTTAATGGCATTGGGACGAAGTGGCATGCATCAGGTTAATTTATAAAGACTTGGAGTGAGCAAGTGAATATATAGTTGGCAGATAAAAATTAAAAAGCTTTTTAAATTCCATTAAATACCCACAACCTTTATATTTATATTGTTTCTTATATATTTTCAGAATGTAATGATGGCGACTGAAGGAGAATTGAGAATTAATGCTGACGATTCGGAGCGTGTTCGCGAAATGCAAGAACAAATCGCAGAATTAAGAGCTGAGGTAACTATAATTATATATCTAACTGGAATGAAACAATTTAAAAGCATTTGAATTTAGTTTGAATATGTAATTTTTGTCTATACAAACTAGTGTAATTTTGTTCCCAGAGTTGTTAAGTGGTCAATAATTGTTATATAGTGTAGATTTTAAGTGACTGTTTAAATCCCTTTATGCAAAATATCAATACTGTATTTTTGTCTCGAAATTTCATTAAAAAAATAATTTCGAGACATTATTTGTCTGTTCTGTATAAAATAGATAATTATTTTGTTAGGATTGTTTGTAAATATGTAATTTTTTTCCACTTCATCAAACAGATATGTTGGGTTTCTTGTTTTCTCACATCATTTCACCAATCTTTATAAATGCTTTGTTTTTTGTATGTTTCAAGGGATTATGTAAGTTCACAACTCTGAGTGCTCACTAAACAGCACTGTTTGGCCATTAATGCTTTATTTAACGCGCTTTTTAACACCTTTTTTCATGTTAAATATAACAAATTTGAAATTCACGTGTTTATCTAATAAATTTCATTGTCACAGTGTGCATAGGAACACGTAAGTGTAACAAAATTATTATTAGAATGATTAAAAAAGTAATTCATAATAATAATAATTAGGTAATGCTAAATATAATTAATTTCCTTTCAAAACAGAACTTTTTGGCACAATTGGATTAATATTAATATTTATGAATCGCATTGATTTTCAATAGATTTAGGTTCTGTCCCACCACTGGCTGAGAGAGAGGCTCAGTTTTATGACGTCACTGTCGGATAAGGGAACAATAATTCGATATTCCATCACATTTTACACGTTGGATTATCAGACAATTTTCAATTTATTTAGGGAAATTGTCTGATAATCCAATGTGTTAAACATGTGTTGGAAATACCGGAATTTGTTACCTTATCTGACAGTGACGACATTTAAGCTATCTGAGCCTCTATCAGCCAGTGGTGGAACAGGCTCTTAATATTTTTTCGTGCTACGTCACACATTCAACTTATTTGATAATATAATATAATATTTGAGTATTTCAATCTATCGAAAATTGATGAAATTAAATGCAATTTCCATAGTAATATGCATGTGTTTATCGAAATGCATTTTGTTCATAATGCACAGTTTTCTCCATCGCTCACATCGGTCGCTGAGCCCAGCGGATGGCTCGTGTAAGTTTTAAAATTACATTTTTAATTCAACCATTATAATAACATTTTTATTCATGATTATTTTAACTAAATAATAATGTAAATAATCATGAAGAAAAATGTACTTCGCTTATAATTTTTCCTCAAAAATTTATAGTTTTATGACGTCAGAAAATTTTGATTGAAGCGTTCAAAGACAAAACAATTACTCAATTTAATTGGTTTAAGGCGGGGGTTTTGATTCTTATTACGCTAAGAAAGTTTTTACTACTTATAATTTTTTTTTACAGCCATATTTGATACATTTTTTATAGCTTTTGTAAAAATTATTTAGTTTATACTTTTAATGGCTAAAGTTTTTTTTAAATCGGTCACTCATTATATACAAATCTTTCCTCTTTGTAATATTATATACAATATTACAAATGTAAATATTTTTTTATTTTAATATCGTTTTGTTTATCTTATACTAACTGTTGCTCGCGACGTCGCTCGCGTGAAATTAAAAAAGATACCCTATTTTACTTTTTAAAATCGACCCAGTAGTTTTCGAGTTATATTTATAATATTATTACTAAATTTTAAAATACTTCTAAATTTTGTCAATAACAAAATGTATAAAAGGCTTTTTTAAAATCTTCGCCTTAAATTACTAGTTTTCTTTAACAAATTTGGAACTGCTTCAATCAAAAAATGCGTATTACATCAATTATAATCTCTTTGCTAGTTTTTGCTTTTTCTGTATTTTTTTTTTCACATTTGAAAAAGAGCTTTTGCATTTTTCACGCTTCCATTAACTTGAAGCCATATTTCACAAATATCGCTTTAATTTGTTTTTTTAATCCACCAAGCCGATAGACAGAAAGAAAAAGAAAGCAATAAATATATCAAGTTTCAAGTTTCTGAACTTATTTTAAGACGTTAAAATTATAATCATTATCCTTAAAGAAAATTTTATCCCGTTAGTGGCCTCTGGAAAGTGTACTTCCATTTCGTTACCATGGTCTGGCCGAAGTTTAAACAGCTGAGGTAGATTATTACTAATGACTATTTTTGTTAATTTTGAATATAAACACTAATAGGTTATGGACGTAATAAATAAGGATGGGTTAAAACTTAAAGTAATACTTACACAGCCTTACAAAAGCGGTATAAAGTTAAACTTAGGAATAAACTAAGTATAAGCAAATATTAGTACATATTTTACGTATACTCAGTTTATTCCTAAGTTTAACTTTATACTGCGTTTATCTAAGGATCAGTGTTTATTTTTTTAGAAATTTTTTCAAAAGATATATATTAACCGACAATCATGCACGCAGCAAGTTTATTTCCAGCATGTTTTGATTTCATCGGTTTCTTTCTATTGCTCTAATGTATTAATGTAACCATATCCTAACTTACATGTTAGGCCATGGTTACATTAGTTTAATCACAAAAATCATTTCCTTCATGTTTCGGAATATATTTCCTAAACGTATAAACTAATAAACTAAGCTACTTTTATATTTAACCCGCGACTCCGTCCGAGTGAAATTAAAATAAAACAAAAGTGAGTAGTCTATGCATTCTTCCAGACTATCCTCTACATCTATACCAAATTTCATCGAAATCCGTTCAGCAGTTTAGGCTACAAACTCTAACAAACATCCATCCGTCTAAACTTTCGCATTTATAATATTAGTATGATTTGTAAGTGTGTTGTTGTCCTTATTTTTGTAATATTTGAAATATTAGTATATCATGTGAGGTTGCGGTTTAATACGGTGGGTCGACACTGCTGATAGCTACAGTCAGATCCATATACATTTAAAATGTATTGACATTCAGATTCAACAAGTATTTATATAACAGAAATATACAAATTTCTATTGCTTGGTAAATGTATACATATCTATGAAGCTGACTGTACATATTCACTGTTCTGCCAGTGGACAGCAATGTTTTTATTGCGAATTGTTTGTCTGTGAATTTAGAAAAAGTTACATTATACTCTTGTTGTTTGTTTGTTATGTTTTGTGGTGATTTTGTTTTGAGATAATATATGTATTTATAGATTTTATTGGAGCTAGTTTGTGTTCTGTGTTGTTTGTATTTGGTAAATGTTTAAAGGTTAAGGCACATCGGAACAAAATTTTATGGCTACAATTATCAAAATACAATTAAAATATTATTGATTATTAATGTTCAGTTAAAAAAAAAAATATGATTTTTTAGACGATTGTAAGGTTTATCTGTATAAAATTAAAGAGATTTAAAAAACTAATGTTCTGATTACTTTGATGTGCTTAAATCTTAAAACATTTAAAAAACTCGTTGAAAATTGAAGTAGTAAATATGTATTGGTGCACAAATTGTATTGTTGTAGATTAGCTGAAATTGTTTATTTAGATTTTTACTTGGGTAAAGTAAACATATCCAACTATGGGAGAAATTGGCTACTAATTTAATGTACAACTATGATTATCACGTATAAAATCTTTTACACTTACTTATTTAAAAAAATATGATTACGTGATAATAATAGTTGTCTTTGAAGTGATTTATTATTAATGTTTTCTTTTGTGTTTGCCAGATTATGAGGTTAGAGGCGTGGAAGGCTCGCGCGCTTGGCCGGACGCAGATAAGCCGCGCGGTCTCTCTAGAGGACGACCTCGAAGAGGATGATAAATTGAAGCTAATTCTGCGCCGCGAGTCCACCGCCTCTTTGGACCTCATGCGTAAAACTACGTAGCACCAGCCAAACTCCGTCATACGTACTCGAATATATACTACGGGTCTGTGAACTATTTACCGTAATTAATGCAGTTACATTTGTACTAAAATATATCGTACTCCCTTTTTGTCAGAGAATGTAAAAGACAATATTGTGCGACAAATGTCACTGCAGTATTCTATGGTAGGAGTAGAATATTATTCGAAATTCAAATCCGTGTTCGTGTTCGAAATTTGAATTTCAAATTCGATTTGAAAATTTATATTTTGAATTTCGAATTTGAGTTCCAAATTTGAATTACGGAATTCGAATTTGATAAACGGATGGAATGATTCGAAATATGAATGAGCCATTCAACGTATTTGAATCCTTCGATTATTCAAAGAATTGAATCATTGAATTTACTCGATTGTATCAAATCATTCGATTTGTTCGATATTTATAAATCAACAATGATATCTCCCGGTGAGTATAAAATAAACTATGACAGCTCACTAGCACCTGTGAATGAAAAAAAATTGTCACAATATTTTAGTTGTATTGTATTTGGCATAAATTATTTTATAACATGTTCTATGTCGAAGATAGCTACGTGTTCCACCGGGCCAGATATCTTTGTTAGACTATAAGCAAATTCACACACCTGTAGTATCAATTAAGTTTATTTTTAAAAGATTATATTTTTATCGCAAATTATGTTTTAAAGATATTTTAGTAATTTTTATCTTTTCGTATGATTTTGAGACATAACTGAAATTTTTAGTTGTAGTTTTGTACATCAGAACTGTTTAACCCCTTTTTTTCATATTTTTTTCACATTTTTTGTCTTTATCAGCAAAGTATGAACTGTTATATCTCAAAAACATATCAAAAGAACGCAATCGAATTTCTTTTAAATGATTTACGAAACGAAGTAAGTTTAAGTAAGAAACTCTTCGAGTACTTTTGACGTTGTACCTCTCTTCAGTATTTAGGGTAGGATTTTTATGACAATGATGACTGAAGGTAAACATAGGATAGTGTTAAAAATTTATATATTGATCTCTGACATTTCGCCTAATTAATTTATTTGTTTTGCATTTGACATAATCTTTGTATATATGCATTAAAAGACATTTAAAACGATTAGTAAAGCGTAAATTCGAAATTCTTGTAGAAAATGTCAGTCCGTTGTCAATTACTGAATGAAGCAATGTTTAGAAGACTAACAGCTTTTATAGAAATTAATATTTAAATATTTTAAGTATAGCGAGACATTAAATTAATGTAATGGCGAAAACGAACTCTGCCGTTTTCAATTTGTATAATCTATGTGCGTTCGAATCCTTTTGCAAATAAAGCAAATTAAATAAATCTTTTGATGTAAAAAAAATATTACTATCTATATCCTAATTATTGCAGTTTTAATTGTTTTAAATCTATTTTAATCCATAAAAAATTCTAAGTAGAAATGTTATTTGTAAAAATTGTAACTTCAAATAGCAAACTACATTTCATTTTTAAACTATATGTTCAACATTCCAAACTCATAGAAAACTTAATTATATTTTACTGGTTTGAAAATGAAATAATAACTTTATTTAACTTTGCAGTTACAATATTTCTAATAACTAGATTTTTTTTTTTTCTGAACAGACCTTTATGCTTTTATTTTATTTTTTCTGTCACCATATTTTTATATATCTCTATGTTTTATTTCTTTTAATTTATTTATTTCTTTAATATTGGTATGTTTTATTTATTTATATATATGTATTTTATTTTTAATCCAAAATTATTAAGAAAATATTCGATCGCAAGGATAACAATTTGTCAGGCTTAGATTTACTTAATAACTTATTTGTAAGGTTTTTGTTTTTACATTATTAAAAACTTATTGTTTTCTATACACACATTTTTTAACATGGGTTTGTCGATCAGTATTTTGTATAGATTTTTTTACCCGGCAGCTTCATTGCTTTAAAAGCAATTAATTAGATAATAAGTAATAAATAATTTATAAAATATCAATAGAATAAACAATAGTATTATTGCAACTTTGCCATTCTGAAGGTTCATGATTTTAAATGTTTTATTTTTTATTTAAACTATGTGCCAAATGTTTTTTATTTTAATAACTTGAAAACTAGTTTTGATATTAAATATTCCGTAAAAATATGAAATAGTTAATAATAGTGAATAATAGTCTCAGAATGGCAAAGATATATTAATACTTTTTGTAAATTACATTATTTATTATGGTTATGTAATTTGTCCACAACTCAAATTTTGTTTATTTAGTTAATATTATAATATTATTATTGTTAATAATGCAGCTATACCCATAGTTATTCCGCGTATGTCGTGTTCAATGTAATTTATTTTGTTTTTATTTTGCTTTTTTTAATATTAATTTGTAGACCCTTTAAATAAGTTTTTTTTTAATAATTTTAACCGATGTAAATGAGAAAGTTTAAATGTTTTCGATAACAGATGGCGTTCTTTACTTATGTTCACAAAACTCTAAAATCGAATAGTGTTTTTTCCAATGCAAAGTTCCGATGCGGCTTATATTTTTTTTATTTAATTTAATCATTATTTTTAATTTCGAACACTAAAGGGGAAGCTGTGCAATATAAAAGGACGTTATTTATATTAATTTTAATTATTATTATATTGTGTCAAATGTAATATTATATTAAAACCAGTAATGTGTGTATTATCGAAAATAAAATCCTAATAAAAAAGTGTCTATTTTATTTAATAACATGGAAGAATAAAATGTTTAGGTAAAGTCGCACACGTTTTAAATTATAGAAATAGATGGCGCTATTTTAAATATTGAATAAAAATATTAAAGCAACCCCTCTCACGTACAATTAAAATCCAATAAAACGGCATATAAGTCTATGATAAAATTATGAAGAGCAAAGTTTTGTATTTTTGTGTATATTAAAATAACTCAAAAACTACTGGATCTATTTCAAAAATTCTTTTACCAATAAAAAGCTACGTTGTCAGTAACAAGCTATGTGTTATTTCACACGAACGAAGTTACGAGCAATAGCAGGTAAAAAATAACTTCAAACGTTAGCGTAGATAATGATACGTTATTAGGGCATGAATATTCAATAGGATTGAAATCAAACAGAATGGTAATTCCACAAAATTTCCATTCCATAAAAAAACAATGCGTGTCAATACAAATGTGCCAGCTGAATTTCGAAGTAAACCTATTGTATGCGTATGTTGTAAATGGAAACTTAATTAAGGGAAAATCCAGTCCTACAGATAGTATTTCGGCAGCACTAATTGGCCGTTGATGCCACACGCTCGGTCTTTTTACTCAACGTGAAAGGAATTTTGGCAATAACAGTATGAAAAGAACGAGGATTTTGTTTTACTTTTTTGGATTTTTATAGCACTAGCCGAAATGCATACGCAATATTGAAATCAGTAACCTAAAATAACTTAACATTGCAAACGAAGTCTTTTTTATTGTGAGCCTCTCGACTTACCAAGGTTTCATCGAAATTAGTATAGTGTATTTGACATTTAATAACTAGCGGTCGCCCGCGACTTCATCAGCACTTAATTAACCCTAAATTCGATAATGTCCAGTGACGAACAACTAATTTAAAATATCTACTGAACTACTTTGGATAAAAATACGTGAGTTTTTGATTTTAATGTGTTTTTATGCTACAAAAATCTCCCTCGAAATAAGTTAAAGAAATTACCTTACAAAGTTGCTGTGTGCATTAACTATCTTCCCTTCGCAATAGTTTCAAAATCAATGTTTCTTTGTCTAGGACCCCTGACAAGACAGACAACCAGAAAAAAATGGTTTTTGGGTATCACAAACGCAAATACCAACAAAATAGTTATTTATATTTTGGATATTACATACACACATTTCAATTTGATTAATACACTAGCTTTTGCTTGCGACTCCGTCCTCGAAGAATTAAAAAAAGGCAAGCCCTTCTAGATTATCTCCTACATCTACGCTAAATTTCATCGAGATTGTTCATCGGCTTAAGTTACAAACTCTAACAAACATCCATCCATCTAAATAAAATTATAATATTATTAAGAAGTAACATAATGAAGTTTATTTCTGGTCTTCGTATAACGTAGTTATGTTAATGAATCCCGCAGTTTCCAGGCTTAACAAGAAAGCATTTTACCGTAAATACGTTTGCAGTTGATAAAAGTCATGCGACAATCTCAGCTGGCAATTTATTATCCGCATCCGTTTGACGGGAAAGTTAAGTTGGTTAATTAGTGGCAAGTCGTGACGGAAAACTAAACACGTTAACATAAAGCTTTGATGCGACGCATCTTTATAAATTTAATACACGATATTGCTTTATAAATAAAAATATAATTATATCTCTCACTTGCATTATTTTATAACGCCTGATATCTATATTATTATAGGTATTATGATATACTAGCTGTTCCCGTGCGGTTTCATCCGCATGAAATTAAAAAAAAAAATATTTTATTGTTTCCATTTGTCAAATTATCAATAGCAAATGTCAAAATTACATGACATGACAAACCTTGGCAAAATTGCTTCCTTGGTGTTGGCAACAACTTATATCTTATGTCTTATGATCTCTTTCCCACATTAGGGTTTTTATCCAAAATATTTACCCCCTAAGTTTAATGGCGCGAAAATATATAGCCTAAAGCGTGACGTAAGTGTGGGGCTTATTATTAAAAAAGAATTATTCAAAAATATGCTGTGATTTCTGACATCTTAGGTAACAAAGAAGTGTGTGTTTACGCTTTATTATAATAGTATGGATGAAGTGGACATTTGTGTTTTTTTTTACTAAACAAAAGTTAAAATTTGATTAGTGTTGGAAATATTTTAACACGAATATAAAAGTACGTATGTTAAAACTCAGAAATTGATAAACCAATCTTCATTGATGTTAGTTATATGTAGATTAGTAATCAAATTTATATATATATTTTAATAGAGCGTCGGTGGCTCAGTGGTTTGAATACTTGACTTGTAATCTACAGGTCTTGGGTTCGAATCCCGCCATGTACCAATGTGATTTTCGATTTTTCGAATTTTCATATGTACATAATTTACCCGACGTTCTTACGGTGAAGGAAAACATCGTGATGCAACCTGCACATATCGGCGAAGAAATTCAAAGCTATGTGTGAAGTCAACCAACCCGCACTTGGACAGCGTGGTTGACTATGGCCTAGTCACCCCTTATTAGGGTAGGCTTCGAGCCCCTCGGTGGGGACGTATAGTGAGCTGGTTATGATGAATCAAATTTATTTTAGGCATCAATATTTTAAGCCACTACTCGTGCTATGACGGGGCTCTGTAGTTGTTAAATATTTGCTCCAAGTTATGTGCCACGACCGTGTTAAGCCGACGTCCGTAGTCTCTACCTACCCTTTTGGGTTACGGACGTGTTATTCTTTACATAAAAGAAAATTCTAGCCATCCTGGTGTTTGTAAAAGAATTCATACTGATTTATCAAAACCTTTGCCGTACGTAAAAATCCTTTCACATTAAAAACGTCGCCCTGATTACTAAGAGGATACCTGCATGGTATCTTGCACAGGAATTTAATAATGCTCTACGTCAGCGCGTTTGAATACTACGAAGTCACCCGGCATTCGTGTAATGAAATGGATATGACTCGAAGTAAGATTAACCTTTTAAGGCATCTATACATATAATAATTTTAGAGTGTCTGTTTGTTATATCAACAGAAAAATTCCAGATTTCAGGAAGGTTATGTATTTGTGTTGCTAATAACAAAGATTTAATTTAAAAAAAATTACCTGTCTGTCCGCAAGCCGCGTTCGTTCCGGGCAATCTCTGAAACGGCTGGGCCGATTTCGACCGGACTCTCACTGAAGGGTAGCTACTTTTTTTTATTATTGCGTGCACGAAGTTGCGGGCAACAGCTAGTTTTCAAATAAAATGTAAAGAACAAACTGTACCTTTTACAAACATGCTAATTTATATAAAGTTTTTTACACATAATTGTATGCTGCCGGTAAAAAGCGGTAAACATAAAAGTAGTATGAAAGCTGTCATTTGCATTACGATGCGATTGAAGCGCTGCGGTTTTATTGCGGAGGTTATAGTCCGTTATCACTTTACTTCATTTCAAAATGTGTAGCTAACACTTTAACTGTCAATTGAACTGTATAGTATTAACTTAATATTACGATTGTTATAACTGAGTTTGTAGCGGTGCAAACGAAGGCCGTGTTAATTTGCGTTTAGTCGCGACGGCAACCGCATTACGCTTCAGATAACCGTATTCCCGGTTACTGCGTTCGATTCTTAATTGATTATATTCCATAACTAGCTTACGCTCCGTCCGGAATTTAAAAAAAGTACAAAATAAGTAGATTATGTGTTCTTTATCAAATACAT